GTGGAATATTGCACATGAAGGTTCTACATAATTACTGTCACATGGTGTTTAGCAGTGTTACAGTTGTAGGAAGGAAGCTAAATATGTATATGGGTGCATCTTTACTCTTGATGGTAAAGAATATGAATACTTTGTCCACTTGGTAATAAGCAGTAATTGCATCCAGATTATGCATTATTATGATGACAAATAGCAGCTGAAAGTATTTATTGTGCCTCTCTTTGAAGTAAAATCTGTGGTAGATTTATATACAATTAAAAGTACAGTACTTTTCTGAGGTTGTTTCCTATGCCTGCCTTAATAAAGGAATGTGCATTCACTAATAAAGCAAACACAGTCAGCAAGACTTCCAGTAATAATTAGGCTATTTGTTTTATATATTTGCAGACTTCTCTGAACATGGTGGCTTCGGATATTGGTCGACTCGCCTGGTCCTCCGTCACTCTGCTGACAGCTGCTTGCCTGAGTCCAGATGAATGCCAAAGGTATGATTTGCCTCTTCTTTATTGAGATTGTCTCACACCCCTGTCTTGCCTCATCCATCCTCAGGAGAATCCTAATGCACTGATACCAAGGGGGAATAATTTTTTTTTCTTTACAATCTGCTTAGCAATGATTTATTGATTGCGGCTTCCACCCTCACAGAGAATTACCGATCCTTTTTGGGAAATCAGATTTTCACACCTTTCATGAGTGTGTATGTGGCGCAGGTCTCCAGAGACAGTGTGAGGGGAAACTGACTTTGAGGAGCAGCAGTGTGTGAATCTCTGCGGTGTCGCTCCTCTGCTGCTGCCAGTGGTACGCCCAATGGATGGCCCTGTGATTCTCTGTTTCTCTCTCCATCTCTCTCTCTATAGTTTTGCATTATTTATCACTCGATAAATACAGTATCCAAGCTTGATTTGTTTTCATTCCCTTTCAAACCTCCAAAACATATGCTTTGCCCACTCTCCCATCATGCAACATGCAAGAGCCCCATCTAAAGTTTAAGCACCTCATGGACAAAAAAGTAAAATAGTAAAAACAACCCTCGCCCTCATAGGAGGAGTCAGATTAGTGCACCGAAAGCTTTGATGCTCCAGAATGTCAGCTCGGTGGATCGATCCAGCAGAAAACACACACACACACACACACCTGACCAATCAGAGGCGTCTATCTGTTGTGGACCTGCTGGGCACTGTGGTTTACAAGCTTCAAAGAGCTCCTTTTAATACACTGCTTTGATAGCCCTCAGCCTTCACTGACCCGCCGACCATCCGCTGGGGAGCATTTTAGCTTTAGTGGAGGAGAGAGGGATAACTGTTGATCATATTAACGAGCGCGAAAAGAAAAATCATCTCAAGTCTCAGATATTTACACCCCTGACCCCACGAGTCCCGATAACAGTCTGTTAGATCAGCTGCAGATAAAATAATACAAATTGGCTGCATTTTTCCGAGAGTAATTTAACACTATTAACAGCACTTGTTGAGATTTAGATGCACAAAGGCATGAAGTGAAAGCATAGACAGAAGAACAGTTTGGTTAATAACCCTAAGGGGGAGACAAATCATCACCTAACAAACCACATTACACATCTCCATATGCTCGGCCATCACAGCACATCCACATATTCATAAAATATATAATGATCGCTTCAAAAAGTGTCGATACATTATTTCAGTGTAGACATTATATGTTTCATTTAAGGTGGAAAATAAAATGATTTACAAAATGTTAAAGAAACCTTATTTTAATCTTAAAGCAGATGAATACTCGCCGATATCAGGCGTTATTAATCTGAGCGTATGTGTCTGTTTGCATTACACAGGTCATTTCAGGTCCAAAGAAAAATCAGATACTTAAAGTATTTACGTGCCTTTTACGTCACTCATAGCAGCAAATGAAGCTGTTGTGTGTGATTTCTCAGAGATTGGAGAACATTTGTCACCTCGGAAAGTCGTGTTAACTTACAGAGCGAACTGATGGTTTGACGTTACATTAATGTTTAAGGACAAAGAAAGCATGAAAGAGAATTTTGTCTTTCGGGTGGATTATAAACCTCATTCTGTCGTGCGTTTTTCAGAGCAGGCTGGTGTGCTGCAGCCTGTCCCAGGTTGAAATCACCCTGCATATGCCTCCAGTATGTTGGAGATCATTTGAAGCTATTGAACTGTGCTTTAATTCCACACCTAATAATTACTCTAAACATGTTTTAACCTCTTGAATATTCTTCGTAATGCTGCTCAATAAAGTGTTTTGTAATTTTTTAAGTAGCGTGTGCCCATTGTTCAAACATAATATTTAGATTTTATACTTTTCTGGTTCAACTAATCCCAAATAGCTAGGAGAAATTAAAAATGCATCCCAAACAAGAGCTCGGGTCTCGGGAGGTTAAATATTTATATATGTACAAAATTAACCATAGTTGTTAAAGTTTCAACAGACTGTGTGGTTCTTTTGCACTTTTCTTCCACAATGCAACTTTTAAAAAAACAAAGGCGCTTCAGAAGATTACAGAATATTTAATCTCCAGGGTTTTTTCAGTCTCACTTATTAAGGCTGGTTTTGTGAGAGAAAAGTTTGTTTTGAGACATATGGCTGCCACTAATGATCATTGTCATCATCAGTTTATCTCTAATATCTCTAACTTATTTCCTTTAATATTAAAATAATCATTAATTGTAAGCAAATACTGAGTGGTCCCACATTGGGGTATATTACACGTTCACCTAATAAGTGAAAGAGACCCAGTTTAATCCCAGGAGGAGACACAAACCTCTTTGGTGTTGTGACAAGAAGAGCATCCGGCGTAAAAAGGAGCTACCTGCTGTGGCGACCCCTAGCTTTTCAAATACATGCACATGTTGAACATTTGAAATGTCTCACAATCTGTGTATAGCAAACATGATACAATTCTTACATTTAAAAATTCTGATCAGCAAATTTTTGCTGAACTAATCAAACTAATCTACCATCAGACAGCTGCTTTTCAAACGGACTTTCTACCTTTGTTTATGTCATTACACAGTAACTATGTAACATCTTTTTTGTTCAGTTTTAATTTGACACTATTCCTGTTTCTGAAACATCTTCATTTGTTGCTTTTTTCCGCTGTTGATAAGAAGGTAATGCGGTTTTGGAGTCACATATAATTTGGTACACTTTAAAACTACCAGAGATCATTTATTAATATAAAATGATGCCATGACAGTTACACGGGGTGTTATTTATTTATCTTTTCTTTCTTCGTGAACCAGGAGTGTTCACCTTGAGTGTTCGATCACATGCTGAAGACCGCCACCCAGTGACCTCTCACACTGGAACGGCACTGGTAAAACCACCAGCTCTAAGCTTGGATATCTGATGACACTCGGGACGCTCTGCTAACCACCGATTCTCCACCCACTGAGGGCTTTTGGTGAGCGTGAGGCGAAGAGCAGGGCATCAAGTGCTTTTTCTTGTTTCTGCGACCTGTTCCCGAGCCGAGGCCAAACTGGGTGAGGAGACAAACCTTCTCCAGTCTCTCCATGTCTGCTCTTGCCATCAGTAGCTCACGTTATTGCTAATCACAGGTCTCAGAGCTACTTATAATAATGAAGATAATCCGTTACATCCTTAGAAGCAGCAATGCAATTTCTGATGTCAACTTTTTAAATATCCCTTTTTTTATTACGTATTATTGTAACAAGATTAGCGTTATCTCATTACTCACTCAGCTTAAACGAGTTAAAAACATGCACTTTGGTTGGAGTGACTGCAATAAAGCAAAGCTGGCTGTTTTGAAGTAATTAACAGCTGTGTGAGATGGTGAGAGATGTGTTGCCCCCTTATCCTGGAGCCTCAGAGGCCAGGGGAAGATTAGAGCTCTGATCTCATTCCCAGCACTTGTTTGGAGTCTGTCAGGAAGAGAAATGCCAGCATTAGAGAGGTAGCGCCACACTCCTGATATGATGAAATAAGGAGAAAAAGGGAAAGGGAAAAAGATGGAGGGATGGACAGAAAGGACCCTGCCCTTCTCTGAAGTGTCAGTAGCTTGTTTATTCTATTTTTCATCGTAGCTGCTGGGGCAAAGATTCCCATTTTTCCTTTTATTTTTTCCCCCCCACCTCCTAACAAAAACCACTGCTCTCATTTTTTATAGGTCTTGCAAACTCTCATGCCCCAGTGAAAATTACATTGTGAAACGGTAGAAATTTCAGGGCTGCCTGTGCTCTCCGCTGTCCCTCTGAGCTTTCAAACAGTCAACAGACTGTGAAGAATAAATAATAAAAAACTATTGATTATTTTGATGACTGCAAGATTCAATTAGGTATTAATTTTGCCCTCCAGTGGACCTATCAAGCAACTCAAAGGAGAGGAGCTAGGAGGTGGAGGTTGGGGGGGTGGACCCACATGCATGCAGAGTGCGGCCAAGCTCAGACAGAGGGGAAAATGTGTTTACCTCGGCGGGCCGAGAGGTGCATTGATGCGCAGTGTCCCACATTTAAGTGCTGCACAAATGAAGCCCTGATGACTAGTGACATTGTTACCGGGGATATGAGTATTGACCAGTCGGCTCACGTTTTTTTAACGACAGCCTAAACTACCCCTATTGATTAACATTTTCATAGATTATCATGTGTCATATCAAAGAGGGCAGATTCTCGTGATGAGCACATTAAAAAGGCCCCTCTGGGTAGGAATTCATTGACCACCCTAATAGACATTGTGGGGGTTGCTGATGGGTGCAGGGGGCGAGATAAGGCTCACCCTTCTTTTTCTTTTTTTCCTTTTCTGCGCCTGTATGAGCCGCATGGTCACCTGTCCTTTGCTCAGACGTATTTAGGTTGTACTCGATTCATAAATAAGAAAGAAGGCCGTAGTCCTGCTGCTCCGTGTCTGCGCCTCAGAGCCTGAGGTGGGATGAACGCTGTCTGAGGAGCTTTCCAGTGCGAAGACACAAGGAGGAAGGGACAGAGAGGAAGGGAGAGAGTGTGTGTGTGAACAAGAGAGGGAGAGAGAGGGAGGGAGGAGGTGACATCTCCAGGGTTTGTCTTAGGAAGCTACCTCAGGCTTGAACCTGTGGTGGCCATTCAAATGCAGGAAGGTTGAGGAGGCTGCTTCTGGTTCAGTAGAAAGCATGCAATAGCCAGTCCCTGTGCTGTGGTGGTTTTAGCAGGTTTTAGCTGCTGCTTTGACTCTTTTCAACATTTGGACTTTCCTTAAACACTTTTTCCCATCTTTTCTGCTGGCGCTTTGTCTTGGTAAGAGAAGTTTTTCCTTTTTAAGAAAGTTTTCCATAAAATGAAAACAAAAAACAGACTTAAATAGGCGCAAGTGCTGCTGCTAAATTATGTATTTTTAGCACACTGTGCATTTTCCTCAGTTTAGGCTAATACTTTAATCGCATCACGTTGATGCTTCTCATTCTTGTTTTGAAGTGTTGACAAAAGAAAAAGAAAAGATAATAATTGGGATAAAAATTTGGGAACATCGGCGACTTCATCTCTTGTTTAGATCAGGCCTTAAGTTCACGTTGTCCCACTCTGCTGCGCGGTGTCACCCTTAATCTCATCTGTTGTCGCAAACTATGTGAAAATTGATATAATCAGCGGTGTGTACTGTCGCTCATATGTTCCTTTTAGATGTAGAATTAGATTTATTTCATTTATTTATCAGCGCACAGTCCATGGACCTCTTTGTAGACTGCTGTCAGCTTAGTGTTTGCTGAAGATGAGGCACATGTCAGGTAGTAATGAGCCCTTGGAGATGGATGTATCACCGTTTTAGGACTGCAGGGTATAATGGCAAAGCCACGCGATCCGTAACAGTTCTTCACCAGGCAGCAGCCGGCAGTATCAGCGGGGTAGCACCAGCCTCAGATAAAAGAGAGAGCTGGAGAGGGAGGGAGCAGGAGAGAGAGGGAGAGTGATGAGTGAGCCATAGAAAGGAGAAGCTGGGTAGAGAGAGAGTGAGTAGAGGCATAGAGAAGGAGCCGGTGAGGGTGAGACCACGAAGCACATCTAACCAGGGGCATTTTCTCTTTTTTTCCCCCCCCCTCTCCTCCCTGTTTCCCACCTGGGCTTTCAGCTCCCTCCAGGATCCGATGATTACAGGGCAGCTGAGCAAGCCGCTGCTCTCCCTGCGCAGCGACATGAGCGTGGCAGAACTCCGGGCGGACGACAAAGCGGCCACCCCAGACAGCGATCTGAACGACGAGCCCCTGCTCCTGCCCTCCGAGGCCACGGACAGAGAGGGCACTCCCAACAAGCTTTACGGTAAGTCAACTTACACCTCACGTCCGTCCGTTCTCCTCCACAAAGCTGCTGGATGAGGTCTGGGTGAGAACTGGTACAAGCAGAGGGCTTCCAGTGCTGGGACAGGTGTCAGCAGCGGCAAACTAAGTGCAGCAACGAGCAAGTGCTTAGATTTGTTAATGGTTAAATTAGTGTTAATAGAATTCATTCACCTACAGACTTCAGAAAATGTGCACAAGTATTTAAGCTGCAGTATATTTTTATTTTATTGCATGTTAGTCCTGAATAAGTTATGATTGGAGGGAAAAAGTATTTAATATTGTTGTGTATTTTATGAAAGCAGCATTTCATGGGTCTCTTCTATTATAAGATCAATTAAAAAGTTGATCTCAAACTGACTAATTTTTTCCAGTTAGAATATTTTTTGCTTTCACTCCAACTTCACATCTCTGAGAGTGTCTGATAATGTAATACAGTTCATCTTTAATCTAAATGGAGAAACTCTTGATTATTTATAATTTAAACAATGATGAATTTTATGCAACTGATCCTAATTATAACATGCATTCTTCCCAAAATTATTGTATTAATTCTTAGCACATCACATATAAAATCTAGCGTCTGCATAATTGCTGAGACCTCTATTTTTTTTTAATGCTGCTTGTTTTTAGTCTAGAAGTTGGGAATTGTGTTCAAAATTAGACAATTTCTCAGTCAGCATGCTCATTATTTCTGCAGTTATCTCATTAATTGAGTGTTGAGACTGTTTGGGCTGTGTTTAGATAAGTGTGTGCTTTTTTTAAAAAAAACTCAATCACCAAGCCTCGTCATAAATCAATAAGCATAATGACAGAAATAATCATTTTAGCTAGTTTTCTAATTATAATTTGTAATGAAAAAATGAAAATTAGCTCTAAACGTTTGTTTTTCATCATTGCTTTTATTATCTGAATATTTGAAGATCTATTATTATTTTTTCTGTCACACAGAGGCACATTGAGATTACAGAATTCAATGGGAATTATGTACTTTTATCCATATTTGTGAGTTTTATCCATCTTCACATATTAAATTATTATATTATGGAGTTTATTTATTCTGCTTGATTCTTTTTTTGCAAAAGACCTTTTAAAATGTTCTAGAAAGACATCTGAAGGATTTAAAAAGCTGATTATGTCATCATCTTAGTATTTGACCTTTTTATCTTTATTTTAATATTAGTTTATTATATTCTTTCTTTTTCCTTTTTCTTGATGTGGAAGAAAGCAAGTGACAAAATTCTCCTCTAATGGCTTCAGATGTTGGCACTGAATATTTATTCAAACTTCTCCTCAGCTTTTGATGGTCTGGAAGTTAGGCTGTCTCTGTATTTGTGGAAGTGGGTTTTGTGTGTGAGTGATTTTGATATGTAATTGCTTTTTCTGGTGCAGTAAACAGTGCAACTTTTTTTAATAAGAGGCGTTAATATGTTGAATATGTGCGTCTCTATCTGAATGTGTGTGTGTGAGTGTTGGAGGGGGGTGTGGAAGAAAGTATAGCAGCATGCCTATAGAGTGATGTGGCCAAATATTTGTGAATGAAGCAAAATATGAATTTAGAGGAGGGCGAGCCAAATTTTACTCTCAGACCCAATCTGAGAGAGTTCGGTTGTCTTTTAAATCCTTATTTCAAGAATAACCCGAGGCTAGTCTTCTAAACAAGGACTGCGTTCTGCAGGATTTGTCTCAAAAGTGTTGCAATTTGGTTTAATAAGCATCAAGTTTCTCCTTTTTTCTTCCTTTCTGATCAGTTCTGAGTCCTCTCACTGCTTTTTATTTGTCTTTTTCTCTCACGTGTGTACACCAAAATATAAGCAGATGCATTGCTAGTTTTTTTTTTTTATATATTTATTTGATGCTATTAATTTGCTTTGTTAATGGAGCAAATGCTTAGAAAAACATGCATAGATCCAGTAATTCCTGGAGCACTGCTTGATGTTTGCTGACGGTCTGTCATCATCGGACATGTGTCTAGTCGGAGCCGCTCTTCTTTAACTTGTGAATTTCGAGGAGACGTTTCCTCTCTGCCCGGTGGCAGAGCCCTGGGCTGTGCCAGCAGCAGGTTGAGTTTGGGAACCGCTGCCCACACGACCTGTCAGGGAATGGCGAGGAGAAGTGGCGTAGTCATGTCCTCTGCTGTGAGGGAGAAAGTGGAAAGAGTGGGGGTGAGGGTAGGGGTGAGGGGTTGGAGAGGAAGAAGAGAATCAGCATCTTTCTTTCTTGAAACGCTTCAGGACTGAAAAGGAAAGGCATGGTGTGGTGGTAATTTATGCTCCTGCAAATGTAACTTTTTGGTATTTTTTAGTTTTTAAGTAATTCTTTTTTGGTATTTGTCATTAAGATTCATAACAACATCTCTGATGTTTCTCCCAAGTCATCTTAGTCTAACACGTGTGCCCAGAAAGGTTTAAATAAACTAGACTGTTTAACTTAATTCCTTAAAAGGTGACAAATTTGACCAATTTTGAGTGGATGAATAGTTTAAAGAGAGAAAGATCTTCACCAGTAATTAACAACTACAGCTTTTGTTGTCATTATGAGCTACATTTGCTTATACCCGTGTTTGCAGGGAACTCTCGTGGCTGCAGAGAGATTGTATTATGTATTATGATTATAAATGCTCCAACCTTGAGACAGGCCTTTAAACTCAGCCTTATATTTTCCAATGCTTTTCTTTATGTGTTTCAACTCTGTGTGGCAAGGAAGCGAGATAATGGCATACTTTCATTCCTCACATTCACAAGAAGAAAATACAACTTTGTTCTGTTTTACGCCTCTTATTTTGAAAAAATCCCTGACAGAATTGCTCCAGTTTTTTGATTGACAGACGTGCACGAATAGACGGCGCACTAATAGTTTCAAGGGAATGTAAATCATGTTGAGACTTCATTTGTTCCCCTGTAATTTAACCGAGTCTTTCGATTCATGATTCAAACAGTTTGAAATATAGTGACAGACTCCAGGTTATACAAGATGTTTTTTTTTGTTTGTTTGCTGTTTTTTGGGGGGGGTGGGGGTGGGGGGAGGACTGTTGATAGCAAACAGCTTTTGCTGAGTATCAATATTAATGAGCATCTGCACTGAGATGTGGTTACATGTGCCATTTATGTGTTTTTATATTTGTAAGGACGACAAAAAGCTAACTTTTCTTTCCCGTAGGCCTCGTGTATGACTTTTTCATTGTAGCCTTAATAGTGTTTAAAAGAGTTTGTGCCAGAAGAAGTCAGGGGGAGACAATGACAGTAGCGGTCATGTTTGTCTACAGTAAATTGTCCATCTTCTACACCCACCACATGCTTACTGCAGTTGTGAAAGGGTCGTTCTCCTCCTAAAAGCTTGCCTGTGCAAATAGTCTTCCACTTCAGGTAACAGGGGCTACGAGGCACCACAAACATCCTGCTGCCTTGTATTTATTCCAAGTAGAAGTGGACATTAGGTGGGAAAGCTGTGGTTAGTAGGGCAAGCAATCTTTTTTTTTTTCCAGAGGACGAGATGGTGTTGGATGCGTACAGTTTCTGTCTTCTCTTCTCAAGCAAATCTCCCCCTTTCAGACATCAACAGACAAGATAATAAGACACTCAGAGCACAATTCGGTATTATATTCAGCAACCAAAGGCTCATCTCTTGTCAGTTTGCATTTACTCTCCCAAGGATGTGACGCTTCTATCATCATGCTGTCAAAGAGAGCCAGGCTGGAACGACAGGAGCACTCATTTCATACACTTACTGTCTACATGAAATGGTCTGCACTTATACGGATTCTGGCAAAATGGTGGAACATTTTCACAAAGGTCACCTAGAGGCACGCCCCCCTCCCCAAAAGAACAAAACGAATCTTCATTGATTCCCAGCGCTGGAGGTCATTCGGAACAGAAAGTCCAACCCGAACGGTACGTCTGCTGTAACGCTCCAGCGTGCTGTTGGGTGTTTTCGTTCCCATCTATAATCAGATTGGACTCTGGATTACTGATGCTAATTTCATCTGGACTAAAGTCCGACCACTAGTGGACTTTTTGAAAAATGTGATTTTCGTAGAAACATTTCTATGTATATTGAGAAAGGAAAATTATAGTATACTTCAGTATACTTTAGTTAGACAGTGGCATTGTTGGATAACTAGAATCAGCAAATCTGTGATAAATCACTTGGGCTCAATTCTGTACAGTTTAACACTTATACTCAAAAACATCAACCAAAACAAAACAGTCTCAGCTAACTGAAAGAGGTCCAATCTGCTCGATTAACAACACTGGCCATCATAACTGAGGGTAACCTTCTTATGTTAAAAAAGACTTTAATAAGGTCAGTGTGAAGCAGCCTATAGTCAAGTGTTGATCCCAGCAAAGGGATGATTTAGGAATAATCCCAAACTACAGTAGGGAATTCACATCCAGCTTGGTTATGGTTGCAGCTGTTGCTGCTACTTGCAGACACAGGAAACACAGGAAGTTGTTACTTTGTCTTATAAAACATACTGAACGGTGCCATTTCTGATATGTTCACTTTTAAAGTAAAAAGGAAGAACATCGTAATTTCTCCTTGAGATGTTTTCCCATTCTAGTCGCTGAGCTGTAATTTGGACGCCTATTTCCAAAAATAACATTTACACTTTAAAAAAATGAAGCCACACTCGAAGCTTCTTTGACAGGGCGTCAAGTCAGGTAGGAGGCAAATATGAGTAAACATTTAGTAAATGCAATGAAATTAAATTAAGCATGAAAATATTTTAAAAAGGATGTTTTTCTTCCAGAACACTTTTTCTGCATTTTGTTCATTCCTCATGTTAGGAACGATAATGGGATTAATCCTGGAAACCTATTGATGACGCACTTTTCTTATATAGGTAAAATCAGACCATTAAGACAGTAATCAGAGAACCTTAAGATACAGCTTATTTACAGCATCACAGGTAAACATATCGATTTGATGTAATTTCATTTTAACTACTTTTTAAAGAATTTTAATGTATCTGTTATCTCCAAG